AAAAAAATTTTTAAACCAAAAAAATTTTTTAAAATCCCAAAAAGGGGCATTAAATTTTTGGGAAAAAAGCAAAAACAGAGTTATGGGACTTGTGCCAATCATCTAAGATAATCACAGAAAACAAGTGTGTGAAGTTTCAATCCATTCCCTTCAGTAGTTATGGAGATACCAGCTTACACGCAAAAAACTTAACCAAAGAATTTCTAAGTCGAAAAAGGGGCATTATTATGTAAAAAAGCAAATCAAAGTTATGGGACTTGTGCCAATCATCTTAGATAATCACAGAGAACAAGTGTGTGAAGTTTCAATCCATTCCCTTCAGTAGTTATGGAGATACCAGCTTACACGCAAAAACTTAACCAAGAATTTCTAAGTCGAAAAAGGGGCATTATTATGTAAAAAAGCAAATCAAAGTTATGGGACTTGTGCCAATCATCTTAGATAATCACAGAGAACAAGTGTGTGAAGTTTCAATCCATTCCCTTCAGTAGTTATGGAGATACCAGCTTACACGCAAAAACTTAACCAAGAATTTTCTAAGTCGAAAAGGGCATAATTATGTAAAAAAGCAAATCAGAGTTATGGGACTTGTACCAATCATCTTAGATAATCACAGAGAACAAGTGTGTGAAGTTTCAATCCATTCCCATCAGTAAGTTATGGAGATACCAGCTTACACGCAAAACTTAACCAAGAATTTCAAAGTCGAAAAGGGGCATAATTTTGTAAAAAAGCAAATCAGAGTTATGGGACTTGTACCATCATCTTAGATAATCACAGAGAACAAGTGTGTGAAGTTTCAATCCATTCGCTTCAGTAGTTATGGAGATACCAGCTTACATACAAAAACTTAACCAAGAATTTCTAAGTCGAAAAAGGGGCATAATTATGAAAAAAGCAAATCAGAGTTATGGGACTTGTGCCAATCATCTTAGATAATCACAGAGAACAAGTGTGTGAAGTTTCAATCCATTCCCTTCAGTAGTTATGGAGATACCAGCTTACATACAAAAAACTTAACCAAGAATTTCTAAGTCGAAAAAGGGGCATAATTATGAAAAAAAGCAAATCAGAGTTATGGACTTGTGCCAATCATCTTAGATAATCACAGAGAACAAGTGTGTGAAGTTTCAATCTATTCCCTTCAGTAAGTTATGGAGATACCAGCTTACATACAAAAACTTAACCAAGAATTTCTAAGTCGAAAAAGGGGCATAATTATGAAAAAAAGCAAATCAGAGTTATGGACTTGTGCCAATCATCTTAGATAATCACAGAGAACAAGTGTGTGAAGTTTCAATCCATTCCCTTCAGTAGTTATGGAGATACCAGCTTAACATACAAAAACTTAACCACAGGGACGCCGACGCCGACAAATGGGTGACTGCATTAGCTCGATTATTCTGCGAATAGTCGAGCTAAAAACACACAAGGTTTATTAAGTGGTTTGGATAGCAAATATATATCAGGAAAAGCATGCCACCAATTTTGTAAGAGAAATTAGTTTAAAGAAAATGAAAACAAAATTTTACACTATGTTAACAGGAAAAATGATAATCAAAATTTACACACATAAATGCATAAAAAATAATATATTGAATAGAAAGTAAGGTTTTAGTACACAGAACGTCTAATATAGAGGAATGTTAAAATTTATATGCTTACCAGTGTCTTAATCTAACACTTCTAATTTTGGCTTTTTATTTTGACAGTCATAAAATATTAGAATTTCAGAGTATTTGCTAAAATACTTCTTCTGTAACAGTTTGCTCTTTATTTGATATGCCTAATTCTATTAATAGAGTCTGAAGATCAGTATAAAATGGGCACGCCTCTAGATGAGAAAGCTTAAACTTTCAAGAAAAAAATTTAAGAAGATAAATTTCCAATCCAGGTCATACATGTCCTTTGATTGTATAATGCAAGATATGCCAGAGGTACACATCTAAATAATTAATTCTACCTTGTTACTAATGGAATAAGATAACTATCTGCATATTTTAGTGAGTCTGAGATAATTCATTTGCAGAGTAAATGCCTTACACAAAGTTAATGTTATACACTTAGCAACATTTTTTTCTCATGAACATAATAAAATAATTTTTAAGATTTCATAAAAATAAGCATGAGTCTGGAATGGTGCTGCTTTAATGTCACATCTAAAGCTACTTCACACAGTAATTTGCACTGTCAATACAAGAATGTCATGACACAAAATTTGTCATTCATACAAGATGTGACATCTTAAAATAATCATACAATCATGTCAAATAATTCTCACTCCACAGCAATCTCTTTGTACTTTGTTTTCCATGAAGCCTAACATTATAAGTTAAAAATTTTGATAGGTTATATGGCCCAATATTAATGGTTGTAGACTTATATAACCAGAGTTTATGTAACCAGTGCTGCAAGGTGAGAGTTTTATAGCAAACAACTAATTATATATCATGTAAAAAGTCCAAACAGAATTTTTTATAATTCCAAAAAAGATAATTTCACAAATTTTCAGCAAGAGATAATCTAAGTTGTGACTGTCCAATTAAATTCAAAGAATGAGCAGTATTATAACATTTCATGTAACTAAGTGTATCGGACAAGGAAAACCATCATCTAAATGCTCTGAATAAATTAGTCACACTTAAAATATAAAAAATTTGGCCAAAGTAAAAAAAAATCAGTAGATTATATAATATTTATAATGATAAAAACAAATGCTTACATGTAAATATATTCAATAAATATACTTCATATACATTCACTCAAACATAACTGCAGCACGTATCATACATTCTTAAAACTAATAACACTCATAAAGTATAAGTGTAAATATATGTTATTATATATACAATTTCAACAAATAAATACAACATGTATATAGAAAATAATTATGTTAACACTGAAACATGTTTGGTTGTAGAAATAGAAATATGACTAAAACGCTGTTAACTTATTTAGATTAAAAATGGTTTCATGATTGCTCGAACCAAATAAATAACAAAATACTGACTCAGCAAATTTAATAAAGATGTAACAATTGTAAATCATCGCAGTTATATAAATAAGACTTTAACATCAATTTTGCTGAATTTTTATTACAGACTTGCCCTTGTTAAAATCTGGATCGGTCCATTGTTCATTCAAGGGGTTTCAGCATAAACATGGTAACATATGAGCCGCGTCACGACAAAACCAACATAATTGGTTTGTGACCAGCATGGATCCAGACCAGCCTGCGCATCCGCGCAGTCTGATTAGGATCGATGATGTCCGCTATCAGTTTCTCTACTTGTTATAGGGTTTGTAAGCGAACAGCATGGATCCTGATCAGACTGCGCAGATGCGCAGGCTGGTCTGGATCCATGCTGGTCGCAAACCAATTATGTTGGTTTTGTCATGACACGGCTCATATACTCAACTGTTTAGATTACATCAACATGCTGACCGTCCTAGTTCAACACTTGTGGCAAAGGCAAAGTCATAATGGCCGCTAGCATTCAAGAGTTTTGATTTCTCAGTAAAAGATTGTAAACAGATTTTACTATTTTATCAAATATGAATACATATTGGGTTTCTTTTGTGTGTAAAAATTATTATACATGTAGATAGATAAATAGAAGATAAACAGATTTGAGTAAATATGTGCAGAACTTAGTCAAATAAGCATTTTTAATGCCTGCAGTTTCAGTGTCTGATAAACTTTATAACTACTTGATCATAATGATAATGGTATTAAGACCTTACAAAACTTTCCAGGTTCTAGAGATATCAAGTATACGAGTGCAAGACTTGTGCATGAGAAGTATTTACCATATTTGTGTGAAAAAATCACCTAATTAAAGTACAGTTTTACAATAAGCTACATTTTCCCTCGAAGCAAAACTGAAAGACTAAATTTTGACATATGTAAAAATTGTCTTAAAAACTAATTGTCTATACATGATAATATAAATATATATTATGACTATTTTCCTTTGAACACATTGTCTTAAAGTACTTCAGTAATTTATTCAGTCCATCAGTAATTGGTAGTTTCAGACAAATTATTTCTCCAATATTAGAAGAATATGATAATAAATAATTCTATTTTGAAATTTCTGAATTTTTTTTAATTTAAGTTCCACTATTTGTTGTCAACATCTCTCCTTGTGTGTCAATATCTCCATTTGTCTCAACAATATCTAATAATTAAAATCTACAGACTATAGACAATATGAGCAATTAATTAAATGGATTTCAATATTGGCAAATATAATCAAATTCACCAGGAATGAGAAACGCTGGTTACACTCGCAGTTACAGTTATTGTTTGATTTAATCATTTTATAACATATAGTCACCACTTAGTAATTTACTTTGTTATGTATCTGAAATGTCAGTATTATTTTTCTTAATATTTTCAAGATAGCTATTTATTAAAGTGACCAACGTAAAATACAATGTAGCCCTTTAGTGTGGTGACTGATGAAAAATAGCTATCCATTTCAGAGACCGAAAAAAATAGCTATTTCAGAGACTGATAAAAAAAGCTATTTCAGAGACCGATACAAATAGCTTTTACTTATTGTGACCAATGAAATATAGTGGCTAGAATAGTCTATAGTAAACATAAAACAATGACCTTTAAGCATTTATAACCCTGAGCAAATATTTAACTACATGACTATGAAACTGAATAAACCCCCAATATATGGTTTTAAATGACTCAGCAAAAATGATACACGTACATAGATCATTCTTAGTGATATTTGCATAGTATTGTTTTATATGACTGTTAAAATGGACACAAAATATAGGGTACCCTTAAACACAAGTATAGGAATCACATTTGTTTTATCATCTGCATATTTCAATAAGAGCAGTTACTTTCGTTTCAGTTCAAATTGTAAATTATAATGAATTATTATATTTTTGAATAAAAAAACAAAACACACAATTTTAATTATATGCCTAACCAATGAGATGTGTTGTTACATGATGTCATGCTTAACACTGCCCAATCAGATAGGTAATTGGTCAACCACTTTAAATGCTTTTCAATGTGGAGAGCACTACATTATAATCTGTGGATCTTTCACGGAGTCAGCTATAGATTTGTGAGGTAAAATTCTACCACCATTTATATAAAGTTCATCTTTCACTGTAACATCTTCCCCTAGTACTGAGACATTCTCCATACGTACCTGAAAACATGTAACAATTCTTTAAAGGATTTAAAAAAATTTAAAATGAGAAAACAAAATAAACATATACTCGAACCCCATGATACCGGTGACTCCACGGTACCGGTATATTCACAAATCTCGCGATATTTTTGTCAACACCACCTACCGAGTGTTTATATTGACATGCTCCCAGTAATATTGGCTATTTCAAAGTTTTTAAACATTTTCAAGAGTTTCTGAAGGAAATATTTCACATATCCTACCTTATTTTTATTTTACTATCCTATTTTTCCATTGCATAAATTAGTCTCTCTACAAAACACATTTTTTTTCCAAGAAAATAAAAAATCACAGGTGCTGACGTCATTCAACCTCCATTACATGTCACTTGACCTTTTGACATCATTTTGGCGGGAAAAAATTAATCTATGGAAAGCCATTAGTGCATATAAAATAGTTTATGAAAATTAAAAAGTCAGTTTCATTCAGTCTTTTAAGGGAGCATGTGTACAGTGCCATATCGATATTTTATCTTCGTCATATAGAAATAAAATTGATTCAATGATACAAAAGGACCAGACAATCACAACAACACTAAAATTAAGTGAAGGGGTATTTTTGAATCCAGCCACATGGTATAATATACACCTGTAATTGGGAGGAAAAGGTTCTAAAACAGAGACCCTTGGGAGTCATAAAAGATGAACAATAAATTATTGAAACACACGTTTTTATGTTGTTTTTACGCGTTTTTTTTTTCAGATATGAATACAAGAATGCTAAAATGATATATTTGCTATTAAAACTGCAATGGCTTTCCATATAAATAACATTTTTACCAGTGCACCGGTAGCATGAAGTCTGTTTAACTACGTCATACAAAATGGTCGACCATTGTTTACATTCGCAATGAGCGAGAATTTCAGAGTAACAGAACTCTGTAATGTAATTTTAAGAGGATTAAATGTTAATGAAGTTGTTTATTCCTTCTTTTTTTCAAGTCAGTAAATTTTTATATGAAAAACACCTTGTATAAAATATGTACACCGGTATCGTGGAGACCCGGGCTACATGGATAAAATACTAAAGAGCAATTTTTATTAATCTACACCCCAATTAAGGTATTTTTCAGGAAACTCAACAAACATACACATGGTTTGTCACTTATGTATGTTATTTTGAGACAGGCCGTAAGGCCAAATTGTAGACAAAAATAATTTCTGCAAAAAAAAAAAATATTGAATTTTAAATATTCACAGTGTGCTATCCAGTACCAAATCAAAATAATATAAAAAATGTTGAAGGAAAGTTAAATGAGAAAATAAAATAAAGAAATAAATGTCATGCAATTTATACAAATTCACTTACCCATCTACCAACCACACATTTCCATCCAATGATACAAGAATCTAGCCATGAATGTGATTTTATATGAGCACCATTTAAAACTGTACATCTTTTAATACAAACACCATCTTCTATAACAACATTTGGTCCTATTGTAACATTAGGTCCTATTCTACAATTATGGCCTATTTTTGCACTGGGATCCTAGAAAAGCAAATAGAGAACATTATAATTAATGACAAAATGATTCATTTTTTTCAAAACTATGATTGATTTACCTAGAACTGCCTCTTTCCTGTCAAAATACCTCAAAGTTGCCAAACAACCATAACTCACTTAAGCACAATTTCAAAATGACTTCCCTTTTAAATATTTCATACTTAACTATTATTTGGAGAATAACCCTAGTATGTTTTTGTCTAACTCAATTTCATACACCCAGTCCAGTATATTTACGATTTTGTCTTATTTATAAGATGCAATTAACTTTTTACACAATTTAAGTCTCAATTCCTCTTAATACAATCTCAAACATATAATTTTTCCATTCCAGAATATAATGTTTAGATTGGGTTGGAAGTTAAAATGTCTGATGAAGTCTATCAATGTTTGCTGGTACAAGCATGCCCAGTGTATCGGGTCTTCAGCAAAGAAGATCTGGTGATTCCAACTCGGTGACATCATTTAGCCACTGAGTATCATCAATGCCTATCGCATTTAAATAAATCTGATATAACATACCACAAGAGCATTCCCTGCAACACCTTCACCATTATATAACAGGTTGGAGCTCTTCTTTTTTAACGAGGTCAAGTACATACACATACCAGTGAGAAAATCTTTAGGTTGACCTACATCCATCCAAAAACCTATACAATATAAGAGAACATGCAAAATTATACTAATACATATAATATCATATAATTATTCTTAATGAACCAAAAGTCATAACCCAAACAATACAAAACTGTACATAATTCTAAGAATGCTCAGAATCATAGTAGCCTGAACATGCTACATAACAACAGCTGTCAGTATGACAGCGTACTTGACTATTCTCAGTGCTTGATAGTAACACAAGAAGCTTGATTATGTAAAAGGGCCATATTTTTTTGGAAAAATCAATGTTAGAGTTATGGACCTTAGACATTGACCTCCTATCATACTCTCAAATAAATGTGTGAAGTTTTAATAAATTCACTTCAGTAGTATTTCAGATAACAACTTACACATTAAAACTTAACAGAAGTGTTATGGTAACACAAACACCTATCCCTAGGTAAGGCGTGTACAAAAGCTCTCTGTATTCTTCAAATAATCAAGCAAACAAAGTCAAATTGGGTGGATATTACTGTATAAGTTTAGTTCAAGGAATTGTTGAAGAAAAATGGTGGTGACTGACACAAGATTCACAGCCTAGTTACACTGATAATTTACTTAAGAAGACAAATATCCTCCTATTTTTGGGATGGAAAATACTTTTATGTTTATTTTTGTGTTATGCTAGTCAACATTCTAAAATTAAACCTTGTAATTCCATAGTATACATTTCTCCATCTTTTGCCATGTCTGGAAACACTTCTTTCTCAATTGATGTAGGTCTAAGCTGAAAATCAAAATCAACATCATCTTCTATGTTTGTATCAGACAAAAAGAAAGGTATTTATCAATAAACACATTTATAATATCCACTATTCTGTAAGTTTACATTGGCTGGTACATTATTTTGTAATTAAATACCACATATTTAGTTTCTGTTACTTTTATCCTAATGAATTTGTGAAATTATAATCTTGTCATTCTTTTAAATTTCTAACCCATAGCCTGCTTGAACCAAGAGTTGCTATTCTTTTCTAAAAGTATAGAGTACGGTCAAACTGCACGGATGTAAAGACTGGTTTTTGCCAACAATATAGAGCCAGGCCAGCCTTCCTATCTGTGCAGTCTATAAATAGATCATTTTTTCTGTTTTGATATTGAAAGCCCTTAAACTTTAAATGGACTATGCCAAATTCAAGGTAGGGCAAACTGACTACACAAATTCTGCAAGTTAAGGGTTTAATTTGAAATGGTCCAGTTTGAGTTTATAGGGAATTTAAATGCAAAATAACAGATTTAAGAAACAAATGTAGTCAGTGCCTGGTCATGTAGCAATGATGGAAATAGACTGGCCTGGTTTTATAATTGTGGCATTGCAAAGGAAGAAATATACAAAAAAACTTTCAAACCAACTTTTACTTATTGATCAACTGTTTGTTGTAACTATAAAAACATACCTCTATTCTATCTAACATTGCCGGTGAAAACATATACATTCCAGCATTGATTTTATTGGAGACATATTCTTGAGGTTTCTCTACAAATTTATGTATTCTGCCACACTCTACATCATAAACGACCACACCATACTTGGACGGCTCCTCTACCTTTGTTACCTGATCACAATAAAATAAAGTAGTTTATAAATCAAACATCAAATTTATTATTTGACTCATAAATAGTTAGAAATCATTCACAAGCTCTTTACAAACAATAGTATAGATTTGTTAGAGCAGTTTCAGATTAACAAAAAGTAAAATCAAAGGCATTGAATGTGCTACAAAAAGGGAAATAATGTCTTTTGTCAAAAAATTATTCCCAATGACTGAGATTTTTTATAACATACATTTAATTGATTATGTTCTAATGAGAGATGTATTAATCACAAAGCAAATTCTGCTGTACAGATGTAGGAAAAATCTTAGGTTATTCGAGTAACATGACAATGAGCAAACAGTAATATTGACAAATCACTTAAACCATAGCCTACTGACAGTAAATGATTCCTTCCATGAGACCAGTGCAGACTAAGATGCTGTCCAAGCACGGTTCTGTACTGTTCGCTATTCAGTGAGTACTTGTTTTGAAATTTTCTCTAAAAAAAGGTTAACGGTTTTGTCCAGATTGAAAGCTGGGCAAGTTAAATAAATAAATAAATAATAATTTAAGATATTCAGTGAGGTAAATGGTTCCTTATTAACTATTACTTACAACAATAGTTCCTTGTTTACCATGATGTTTATGAAACTTGATCATGTCTTTAAATGGGAAATCACAGATTATATCACTGTTGAGTACAAAAAATGGATCGTTGTCCTTTGTAAGGTGTTCTCTAGCTAGAGCAAGGGGTCCGGCTGAAAAAAAATTTGTATTGTATAATTAAATATTGATGATATGAATAATTTAACTGCAACTCAGTCAATCAGATAATTATTCATTACTAAAAAATAATTTTACAAACTTGATAGTTTTAAGTTCAAATATGTAAAATATTTCTAATAAGTACTGGGTAAAGAGATTTTGTCTTTCTATTGGCACCTCAACAGTACATGTATACTCATTTCTAAAATGGGTGGAATTTTCTGAACATATTTCTGGGGTATCTAATCCTTTTAACTTATTCTATTCTTATTTTCTTTATGCATCATTAGATGTTTTTTTATTCTCTTGATTCTTGTCTTTCAAATCTTTTTTTCCCTTGTTTTCTAATGAAACTGGGATAAAATGCTAGTATTTCAATCACTTCTAAATTCTTAAATTTGAAGAGCTTTATGCATAAACACCAAAAATTCTTCAAATATAAATATCTTACAACATTCATATCAATATTGCATATTCTAAACATTTGTCTCTGATTTGTAACAACTATCTATGTTAAAATATAGTTTAAATAAACAAAACATATTTTTTATAATAATATCATATTATTTCATGGAATGTTTTAATTCTTACCTGTTCCAAGAGGTTCTGTTTCCAAAGAAATAGTGATAGTTATTCCAAGCTGAAATATTCATTTTAATCCTGACTGATAATTAATCAATGAAACATGTTTATAACAATCATACAACTGTACAATGTACTTCAATATTTGCTACACATAGTTCTAGTAACACTTGACCTGTTTAACCTCAGTTTTAATTGGCAGTTAATTTAAATCAAAATTATTCTCAAAATGTGTTGAATTTATCCGTCTTCACTTGCTTTGGAACCTTACAAAGCTGACTCAAAGAATTTAAATATAACATATAAGCTCAAATAAAACGGCCAACAGTATAGTGCCCGGTCAGACTGTATGGATGTACATGTGATGTACAGGTGGTGTACATGTGGTATACATGTAGGTTGATCCTAGTGGCCCAGACAAATAATTATTTCAGCTAGCATGCAAAGATTTTAAAAATGTTTTTTTTTATAATGTCAATGAATTCCTTATCAAATAGGAAACACAAGTTCCATTTAAACCTTTTCCATACTTTATTAAACTTAATTTTGCTAGAAAATAGAAGTACGAGGGCTGTTCAAAAAGTTCGTGGACTGCGGCTCTACTGTTCACATCTTTTAATTTGCGTAAATGATTTTACAAGAGACATATATGAAAATATGTCCTTAATAAACAGTGAAAAAATCAATACAATATGTTTACAAATAACAAATCTGTGACAGTTACAAATCACAAGGGGTGCGCAATCCGGCGCACGCTGATGATGAAACAAAATGACGTTCGTGACGTCGCAATATAAATCAAACATTTTACCAGCGTCATTGTTTCTGAAAGTACTCTTTTTAGTGTTCAATATCTGCGGATCATATACCAAAACCATTTTTCTGTTTGTGATGATGACCCGAAATATAAAGTGGTCATCTTTTCGCTCCATTCTCCGTATAAAGGTCCGAGTGCCGCATACTTTTTGCTCTTTATCGGGATTTTTTAGTAATTTGGACACTTAACGGACAGTGTTATTAAGTTAATTCAATTGTTAGTTTATAGTTTCAATTTGAAACCGCCCTCGTCCGATCTTTAAACAATATGATTATCAATGATAAAGAAAAATATTTTATCAACTGACAATTATTGTATGCGGTAAATCTACTGAACACCGGCTAGCATTCATTATCAAACGGACCAGGGTAAATACACGTAATACAAATAATAACTACAATTATTTATTGTAAATACGCATATATCCTGATGAATGAAATAAAATATTATTTTAATTAAATTAAATTGTTTTGTCGGATTTGAATGCAGAAATTAAATATGTCGGACATCTCGCAAAACTTTCATAATGTCTGGACTTCTGTAGATCTTTTGCAGTTGACGTTACAAACGTCCTAACAATTTGCCGAAATTATCCGTTGCTCTTTCTGTCTGTGAGCATGTATTTGCCGTATTTGGATCGGTTGCGCGACCTGAAACCAAGAGTCTTGCTCGCCAACTCATTGTTCTTCGTTAATTTAATCACCTCATAAAAACATAAAGGGGTATCCCACATTTATTGGTAAAAATTTCCGAAAGAGCGAATTTCTAGCTTTTAAACGGGCTTTATACTTCCCAACTTACCCGTCTGTCTACTGCTGCTCAAAACCTGTTTGTTAAGCTATTCAACGTCCAAACGACGTAAATTTTCAGATTTATGTCATTTAAATATTTATAGATGATTACTTGTATTTTACTTCATAAAATAATCATTCAGTTTGTTTCAACATTTGTTTATATTTAAACATTATATGAAAATTTCGGCGTGCGCCGATGTTGCGTTGCCATGGTTATTAAAGTGCACATAACTCGTAAAGGAAATAAAAGTTTACAATAAAAGTAAATCTTACTTTTAGAAATTATAACACTCTTTCGATTCATATCCACTAAGGGTGTTTTTATGAACGAAGTAAAAAATGACAGCAAAAATCCACGAACTTTTTGAACATACCTCGTATATATTTTTTGTTTTGTTTGTAAATATGGCTTGTTTTTTCTATCACATACATACTAAATTCATATTATATGTTTAATAAACCAAATCAATACATGTAGATGTGTAACAACAATGTCTTGGTGAAAAAAAACTAAAAGCATAATATGTTTTAAGATTAGAGATTAAGAGGTCAATAAATCTTTCTCTCACTAAGTAAGTTTACCTTTTCTTCGACAGACTTTAATTCTTTCTCCATTTGATCTGCTCTATAACTTACAGCTAGAATTATATGACTGACTCCTGCCTGTAAAACAACAAAGATGCAAGCAAGACGTTAAAAGTAAATATATAAAGTTATACATATATATATATATGGCAGACAGTAAAAGTGAATACCTCCAGTGGTTGTGAAGACAGAATTTGCATGTAAAAACTTAACCAGGAAATTTCTTAACTCTCAAATATTTAAATTTAGTGCAAGATGGATAGGTACCTTTTCTTCAAATACTAATAGTTGAGCTTAAAATACAGTGCATTTTTCTTTTAGCAAAGCAGAAATTAGAAATCTATTTTGACAAAAAAGTTAGGAAAATTTCTGTCTAATTTCTGGCATGAGCAAACTTCATGGTTTACTTTCAATTAACAATTTATTCAAATATATATTTCACAAATAAAAATTCTATATTTGTAGGTTTTTCTGTGTACATGTATGTTTAAATTATTTATCTGAGAAGGTGTTAAAAGTTAACTAAGGCTAAATTTAACCATTTTTGGCACAATATTACTTTTGTGAGTTATTTCACCTATCAAAAGCCATGGAAGAATGCTTAAGTTCATTCTAAAACATACTCTTACAAAGAAAGCAAAGAAAATATATTTCAAAATCCAAAGGTTTAAAATCATCTTTTCTGCTTGCATTACTGATTTTATGGATTCAATATCTTAAGGGCAATTGTGACCAAATTATTTCATTAAAAAATCCAGCAGTAAGGTATAAGTTATTAACCACACCTTACCTGTATTAAAAAAAAAGATTTGTACAGTCATGTGTATATAAAACATGTATCAGCTGTCTACATAACACTCCCACGTATTTCCAATATTCCAAGCAAACATTACAGTTGTATTTACTTTTTACAATTTATATTTTCTTCGTAACTTTAAGTGGAAATAAATAATATCTATATTCATTATTCAACCTTATGTAGCTCAAACATTTATTTTAGCTCGAAATTAAAGTAAGTTCCGAAAACTTATATTTATCATTTTCGAGGTTGCTTCCTGAACTAATCAATTCTGATGCAACATTAAGAAACATGCTTGTTTGTTTTCCAAGACTTTAACTCTGATTTTAACACGTTTTATCATATCTTGCAGCTAATCCACCCCAATAAGCTTTTTGGGATAACTAACCAGTAATTATCAAATTCTCTGCAAGTGACTGATTACTTACTGTATCCCATGTGGCTTCTTAGACAAATGACCATTAGACTCAATGTCTGAAATAAATTGTCATGGATAAATTGTGCCTCTCCCAAAGATCATACAAGCGATCCCTAGATTACTAATTTGATTCTCTCCCTATTGAGCTAAGCAGACGGACATATGAGGAAACATATTCAAAATCATGGCTCCAAGATCCACAGGCTGAGAGGAAAAAACCTTTGTCTGTGGCAGATTATTAAATAATCTACCATCCCTGTAACCTTGACCTTATCTATTTAACCCTTACCAAACTTATTAATGCCAAGAAAATATCTTAACAAACATTGTGCGTAAACAGAACATGTAAAAAAACATACCTCAACCAATGCTTCTAGCTGATGTAGTAACATAGGTTTGTTACAGAACTCTACTAGTGGTTTGGGACAGCTCAGTGTCAAAGGTCGCAACCTTGTGCCATATCCACCAACCAAAATTAAAGCCTTCATTGTAATTCTGCAAGAAAATTAAAATATTCATCAATAAAAAGATAATTCAATATCTTAAAGGTTGTTTTTTTGAAACATCTATATAAAATGCAATGTGTAGCTAGTTTAAATTCTCATCAGATGTTAAATTAATTGAAAGACTTTTTAAGTGCAGACAAATAATGATAATTCATGCAAGAGACTGTAATGTAAATAATTAGATAAGAACATGGGCAATGTTTCATCAAGAAGTTACATCCTTCTAAAGTTATTGTTCAGGCAAAGAAGAGGGGACATATGTATGTCTTAACTGACAGATATAACAGCCACTCCATTTTTTTAAAATATATATTGGACCTAGTTGACCTGTGCCATGTTTATTAGGACAGACCTTTATGTCTATAATTGATACAGTAATATACTACAAATTCACAGGTGGTTTTTAGATCATGGCAGTCAGCACTTCTGAATTCACCAGAGAACTGTCATTTAAAAGAAAATCAAATAAAAAACAATTAAATAATATATAGAATTCTATAACTATCAATGCAATTTTCAGTGTCAGTTCTAGTCCAGTGCCGCCATTTTCAATGTAACTCAATGATAATAGGCAGGGTATTCCAATAACGACAATTGCAACATTTCGGATTAATAATAATCGTCAAGTATTCCCAGTGAAAGTGGAAGGGGTGCATAAAATACCAAATGCCACTTTCAAAATGAAACAATAAACTATTTTTTCACTGACTTCCCCGTTCATAGGCCTTGCCTTAATTCATTTTAATACAAAATTAGGCAAAGCCTATGAATGGTGGAGTTGGTTCATTTTTCTGTTTTATAAGAGTCTTTAGGTATTTCATGCACCACTTCTGTTAATTGGAACACTCGAAGATTATTTTTTATCCGAAAGGTTGCAACTGTTCTCGTAATACCCCGCCTATTATCATTGAGTTACATTGAAAATGGTGGTGCCCAACTAGAACTGACACTGTGAATTTCATTGTCAGGTATAGAATTCTACCGTATTTTTTCCATTTATCGCCCCGGGGCGTTGCAAAAACGGAAACGGGGGGCGTTAATTAGAAGCACATTTGCATAAAATGAAAATTAATTTTATGTTTAAAAATATCCAAAAATCTCCCAACTATTTTCGTCATATAAACCCATTGTTCACATACGATAAATAAGCAGCACAAAATTATTGTAGACAATACGGTAGTCTGCTGACCGAGATAAACTTTGTCAAGTATTGATTTTTCCTGCTCTGGCGGGAAATTATGACGTAACACACATCAGTTTACCTGTGTGTAAAAAAACTTGATTTAATGATTTAATCAATACACAATGGAAGGTTGCACTTCTAAGAAAACGTACACGAATGCATTCAAACTGGAAGTTGAATGTTACTTGGAAGTTACAACAGTTAGTTTTTTTCTGTTTATTTTTTTAAATACACTTCGGATATTAAAATTTTCAAGTCAGGTAAGAATTTTTTTTTTCATTTTTCACCCAGGGGGCGCTAATTAGAAGGGGGGCTATAAATAGAAACAATACGGTATATATTATTTAATCGTTTTTTATTTGATTTCCTTTTAAATATGTACATGTCTTGTCTCTCGCCGGGCAAGTCAAAGCCTTTGACTTTCCTGTATTAAAATAAATTAAGCCTTTGACTTTCCCGTATTAAAATAAATTAAATAAGGGTCTAACTATGAATCCGGCCTTGAATTGCCCCAATTCACAAACAAATGCTCTACCAATTAACCTAACAAGATGACTTTTCATAAATTAATAAATGAGCCCACTGTTTTTTTGGTAGAAAAGAAATATAATTTACCACTGACATCCCACTGGATGACTTATTAGCCCAAATTTGTTTAAGTAAATACACTTTTGCATTGCATCATCACATAATTTTTGGGTAAATATTTTGACATTTCAGACCAAAGTTTGACAGTTGACAGTTCAGTGTTTAAACACATTTAAAGATCGCACAATTCTTGGTAAAAAACTGAATATCAAAAAATTTCAATATTGATGGTAACTCAGAAATCTTACCTAGAATTATTTTCAATTTACAAAAAATAATCTGATACACAACATTCAAACAAGCATAAACAAATATTTCTGCCACGACGCGTGTCAACAAACAAACTTAACGATGATAACGAAAGGCGATCAAATAACCGGCTTTTGTTTCCGTTTCCGTGTTTTTGGTTTCTGAGAGTAGTCTCCCTTGAATTGCAGGCTCGGTAAGAAGGCGTGTCGGATTTTCATTGGTGATTAACAATGACAACATGGACTGTTTTGTCTGTCATGTAATTTTTCTGGTGTTTTAGACATTTTACCAATAAAATTATCTTTTTCGGTATTTGGTAACTGTTTTAAAAACCATAAGTTGAGTAGATGTTCAAATTTTAAGTTGATTTTCAGTCATAAATTTTACAAAAATTGAGAAATCATGCCTTTGAATTTAAAGAAAGTGGTTCTTAATTGTGTTGTCTATTCATTGGTGCTTGTAATGGTTTGTCCATACACAAGTTTTGCATCTAAAGAGAAGTGCAGTACATGCAAAGACATTGTTAAGAATTTTAAAGAGGTAAGTATCAGATTATATATCTAAAGAATTTGTTTGATTTAGTTTCCCTCTAATGTCAAATCTCATCATGCCCTTATTTTGTTGGATTTATCTAACTCAATACAGTGGTGCAGCAGTACCTCTATACGCTTGCAGAAATCATGATCAGAAAATAATGGTGGCTGATTTGTGCCATTCGTGTTTCCCCCCGCGACCCGCCAAGTGAAAAGTCGAGAATTTTCAAGTTAAAATGGTGGGTGCGCGGAGCGAAACACGCTAGCTATTAGCAGAATGCTGGGTGTAATTTAAGAAATAAAACCTGATGGGGAAGCGGAGCGAGTTTTAAGAAATAAATCAGCAGGGCTCGCAGAGTGAAAACACGTTTCTAAGTGGGAGCGCTGGATGGAGTTTGATAAATAAAACTTCGCCCCCTGACACTGCTAATTAGCTTTGTTCACTCCGCGATCCCGCGAAGCGTAAAATCGATATTTCACAAATTAAAATGGCGAGGGCACGGATCGAAAACATGCTAATAAGTGAGGGCGCAGGGCAGTTTAATAATTAAAATTAATATTAGCGTGTTTTCACCCCGCGACCATGCCAAGCAAAAAGTCAAGAATTGAGAGGTTAAAATGGGAACGTGGAGCGAAAACAAACTAATAAATGGGGCATGGAACGAAAACACACTAATTAATGGGGGTGCTAATTAGCTTGTTTAAGCTCTGCAACCCCATGGGGGGAAGTCTTATTTGTTTAACTTCGCCCCATGCCCAGCTAATTAGCGTGTTTTTCGTTCAGCGTCCCAGCCATTTTTACTTGTTAATTCTCGACTTAGCTCTTGGTTGGATATTTGGGCGAAAACACAAAGGGCACAAATCAGCCACCATACAAAATAGACAAATACAGATGGGTGAAAAGGCGAGATTTTAGCATTTAACTGTTCAAGCACCTTGTCCAATTTATACTAGAATACTGTATTTCGTGTGATGCTCCTATCCTATTTTTAGTCTAACTCTATTCTGTTATTGGGGACTTAGCTAGTTCTGGCTTCCAGAACATTTTTGACATTATGCAACAATCAGCAATCATACAAGATGACCACTTCCTGGGTTTCCTGACGGTTATCGTAGCCAATGTGGACTGAGGATGCCTAAAGTGTATCTCAAGGGTGGGATTCGAACCCAGACCTTTGGATACAGAGTCTAATGCTGTTAGACACTAGTTATTGGTCCACAAGTACATCAAATGGTACACAATTGTTGAAAAAATATTTCCAGTCTCGTAAAGTCAAAAAACACCAACAATAGAGTCCTTTTAAAGTTACATTGTAAAGTTGACATTCTCAAATTTTATTTTGACTAATTGAAGAGTCCATACCAAGCATATCTTTGAATAGAAATATTTGGAGATGAAAGTCATTTTTTACTAATTATCTTACATATAACAGGGTCTTGAGAAAACAAAGAAATCTAATTTTGGTGGAGGAAATACAAGATGGGAGGAAAAATCTCTTGGAACATGGGCTCACAGGTACTTTATTCTTATATTCAAATGTGTTTTTTTGTTGTTGTTGTTGCTTTTTTATTATTATTGATACAACATAATTATCAGGTTTGCGTTATTTGGTATGCATCTCATTTATTTTTAGAATTTTGTCATTATTTGTGAATCTTACAACAACTTGGCATTTGTTAGAAAATTTAGTCTTCCTAACTTTTTTGATGTTTTTTTTAAATCTTTCAGCCGATGAATCTGCTTATTTTTGAAATTTTAGTTTTTAAGTTACTATTGAACATTTTTTTTATGTGAATTTCAGTGAAACAAGATTAGTGGAGATCTGGGAGAATTATCTGTGCAAGCATGACAGTAAGGAGGTATTGTATCATCTATAAATGTTTATGCTATTACATTGTCTGTTGTCAGTGTTTGTGTAGAAATTTTCATACTTAGTTGTAATTAGTTGTCAACTTTTAATGTTATTTTTTAACAGTAGACTAAGATGTGCTCACCTAGAAATTGGTCTATAACACATTGGGCAGCACCTTAGTGCAGTAACAGAAGAAGTCCTTCTAAATTTAATAGGAATTAATCAGTTATTGCACTAAGTTAATGTCCAGGGTTTTTAGATAAAAGTCCAAAGTAACAGGAATTTTACTTTCATAAATTGCGTTAAGGCCTACTCACAGACTTCAGGAACTAAAGAGTTGTATAGAGTAAAAGTGAAGTTAAAATCTAATATAATGACATTGATATACCTTTTCATTAAGCTGAGAAGCACACATTAACAACTCTTAGCCTGCTAGTATAAACAGATTTTGTCAATGCCACCAGTGCAGACAAAGATCAGCTGGCACATTTGCACTGATGGCTATTAAGTCAGTACATATTTTGCAAAATTTCCTAAAATAACGAATGACTATGTCCAGATTTATAGTCAGTTAAAGAAACTTACAGTGTTAAGGGCATGATTGTATAAAAGCCTATATAAATTTCAGTGTCATTTTATGCTGGAGAAACATGAAGAAGATATGGAGGAATTCTGGTTTAATGTACATGCTAAAAATGAAGATACTGATATGCATGAGTGGTTATGTATAAATAAAATTAAAGGTAAGTCTGTTTATTGTTTTAAACTTCAAAACTTACATATACATACATGTATACTGATAAAAACAAGCCCTAGATGGTTTGGCAGAGATTGATGTTCCTCTTTAAGAACAAGCTTGACGAATTGAAGATAAACTTTACTTATATAATAGTCTCTAAGATTAATATAAGTTATCTTTGTTCAACATATAACTAAAACTTTGAAAATAATTATAGACCACTCTTATTAAAGGAAATTTGATGTGTTCATTTTTCCTTTCACAAAGTTTTTAGGAGCATAACTTAGTGAGTTGTACAGAGATCATATGATTTATTCTGTTAATATTGTGAGTATTACATTGGGCCATTAACAAAAAACTTGGGCGAAGGACACTCATAGGTCTGATTAAAATGAAACATTAGTGTTGTATAAGTAGGCTTCCAAGAAATTATGCTTTTTTTTTGTGACTTTAGGGCATTTTAATTGTTTGTACAAAGAAAAATACATTAGATTAATCAAATATTGTCAATAAATTAAATATATACATAATAATAGTCAATATGAAATTAAGGTTATAATTGAAGTAAATTTTTTTTTTCATCTTTCAGTATGTTGCCCCAGCAACACATATGGTCCAAAGTGTACTGAATGTAAGGGTGGGAAAGATAGACCTTGCAAGGGGAATGGTAAATGTGATGTAAGTTTAGGTTTTGTTGTTAATTCCCTTCAGAATTTAGTTTTTAGGAATTTTATTTTTTTTTGGCATCATATCATATAATTGTCAAGTGAACCAAACTTATTAAGATATGGTGAAACGTGTTACATGTTCATCTTAAAAAGCAAACTTTCTGAATGGTTAATATCAACTTTATTATTCTAATGTAGATTTTGAATTGAAACAGTTTATTACTTCTTGTCTTTAAAACATATAATCATTCCATAAACAGAAAAGGAAGCAAATTTCCATGGAATGTGTTTTTGTTGATTAGACTTACATTTGACATGTGCTTCAATTTATAATTTTCTCAAAGTTTTTATTTCTCGTCAATATGCACACTTACTTTGAGATAAGTTGACTGGGAGGATTTTTTTATCAAGAAATTTTTCGTCCTAAGCGTATTAATATGTTTTAAAAGTGTATTATGTTGATATATAATCTGTGATATTTTACCAGGGAGAAGGTACTAGAACTGGAACAGGAAAATGTAAATGTGATAGTGGTTACCAAGGTGATTTCTGTGATGATTGTGTCGATGGATATTTCGAGGAGAGTAAAAATGATACCCACACCCAATGTACAGCTTGCCACGCCTCCTGTAAATCAACTTGCTGGGAGGCGGGGCCAAAGGGGTGTGATGAGTGTAAGGCTGGATGGGAGGCGTCGGAAACCGAGGGTTGCCAGGATATAGACGAATGTCCGAACACTCCTTGTGAAGAAACTCAATACTGTACTAACACTCAAGGGTCATATCATTGCGCTACATGTCATAGGTCATGTAAAGGTTGCCATGGATATGGTTCAAATAAATGTGAAGAATGTAAAGCAGGTTTTAACAAAGTGGAAGAAAATTGTTTAGGTAAGATTAAAATTACCAGAAAATATCTACTATTAGTATCATTCATGAAAGATTTATGTGAAAATAGCTGCAAAAAATACATGTTCTTTAAATTGTTCAGTCTTAAATCTTCAGGTCATTAGAGAATTTTAGATTTCTTTAAAAAAAACTTTTTATGGATTTATAAAATGATATAATTTCTTAATGTATATAATATTAAACCCAGTTTAAGAACTTTAGGGATCATATAGTTATAGATAATTGTTTGATCATCCTATTGAATATACAGTTTATTTTTAATGCTTTAATTTAGATATAAATGAATGCGAGTTAGATAAGACATTGTGTACAGGGGAGAAACAGTCGTGTGAGAACACAGACGGAAGTTACGAGTGTAAATGTGAAGGTGATCTTATATACGATGTCGGAAGTCAGACCTGTATACCTAAACCAAAAGGTATGTAACATTATTAGTTATAAAGATTTTTGATAGGTTATATGGCCCTATATAAATGATTGTTTGGAACTATATATTGCAAACAACCGTTTATATACAGTCATATAATCTGTCCGGGGAAAATCTATAACCAATTTATGATACAGCAAACTTCCTTTTTGAGAGAAAGAAAGTGAGATTTCTTAGAAAATTGACAGCAGTCGTTTATAATTAAACTATATAAACGTCATGATTATCCAATGAAAAGTGATGTTACAAACATGCAGTATTATAAAGTCTCATATACGAGGGCGCATCATAAACTTTTAAAACTTCTATTATATACTTGTATGCAGAGGAACAAAGAAATAAGAAATTGCATTACCAGTTTTTTTCCTCATTTATGCAACCATTATCTTGTATATCATCAAATTCCAATAAAATTACTGGTAATATGAAAGTAAATAAAATTGTCAGTATTTTTTACGTACCTGATATTTCACATGACTTTCACTAATCTTGAATCTTCAGTTTCATTTCACTACCAGCATCTTTCAACGATTGTTGAAGGGGCTGGCATTTGTCATTTAGTCTCAAATAATGTCTGCCATGGTCACAGTTAGCAGAAGACTATTTATGCATGTAACAAATACAGGATAAGAAACTGGTACTTGTAAAACTAAATGAAAACTGTCTCATCAGTGTCTGGAAGAAATGGTCTGTGCTAAGCAATGGTCATATTCCAACAAGTCTCATAGCATGAATAAGTAATCATAACATAAAAGTAAAAAAAAAAGTCAACATATATTACTTTGTTTTAAGGGCCAGTTACACAGACGGTCGGTCCCCAATCGGTCATTTAATTTTAAATTTACTCGCTGTTATGATCGGTTGTTATGCGTGAATTTATTTCTGGTTTTCTGTGTAAACGGCCATCAGTGACAGAAAGCAAACTAAAACAGGGTTTGATCGGTGATAAAAATGCTGAAATATTATCGGTTTTTATCGTTTGTAAATCGGAGCTAAATCGGGCACAAGGCTGATTAATCGGTGTTTGATAGCTAGTCACCAGTGGTTAAACACTTTCCGTCAGATATGGCTGGTGATTCATATTTGGTTATCTTTGTCCGATCGGCGATATCGGTGATTAAGAGCATGCATATCTCGTGATATAGGTTGCTGTCGGTTATTTGTAAAATATTTTCACCGATCGAGAATTTTAAACATGTTTAAAAATCCCAATCGGTAATTTTTCACGGATAAAACTTATCTTTCCCCAATAGCATTTGATAGGTGGAAAACAGGTGACCAATAGGTGATATCGGTGTTAAATACGTTGTATTCGGTTCACTCCATAATTTTGCTAAAAAAACTACCGATCAATCACCGATGGCTCTGTGTAACTGGGGTGTAAGAAACATTCTCTTGAAATATTTGTTCTGTAAAGGCTGTCTAAATGAAAAAATGAAATTTTACAATTAAATAATAATTTTTCCCTAATTCTTAAACATATGAAAAGATAATGAGATAGTTAAGTAATCCTGAAAATTGTTGAATAGATTTTGATTTAATACAGATACTGTTGGTTTCATATTGACATAGTTTAATGTTGTTGTTATTGTTTAGGTTCTTTCTGCATGTTTCTGTGTTAACTCTTGGTTGTTTCTTTAGAACATCTGGGTTATTGTTTTTATGGTTCCCATCCTAATTTTTCTGTGTTGATAATTTTCAAGATTTTGCCTGATATTGATTCATACTAATTAATTTCCTGGCGCATTATCTATCAAGAAGTTAATTATTTTTTGGCAGCTTTGTAAGGTTGTTAAAGAAGTCTTATGTTGCTATGTTAGTTTGTCATTACACAGGACATTTATTATTTTCATTTATTTACTAGTCAAGCCTGGTTTATCTTTATTTGTTAGTAGTAATAGTACATTATTTCTTTTGATAGAAAGTGAGTATATTAGATTAGGTTTTACAATTATTTTATTGCATGATATACTCCTTTTTCTCTTTCATATTTGTTATGTTGTATTGCCCAAATCTGCTTGAATGGAAATCATTGATTGACATGTATATGTTGAGAAGTTGTTTTAACTTTTTACTCAGTCAAATTTGTTTTATGGGGTTGTCCTGCTTTGAATCTGGAACTTTCCATTATTAGTATACATGTATTGCAAATATCAAAAAACATGTACATTGTATCAATATACTTAATTTGGTTGCTAGCTTTGTAATTTTGGTCTGGCAACATATCTGTACATACTGACTTGGCTCTTGACTGACAGCTTATGTAGTACATGGTCACAACTAATTAAACAATTACCCCACTCAATATCGAAAATAGACTTGTCCAACATTCAATCTGTGGAAAAAAAACATTTTGCATTTTTTGGGAAAATTTCTAAAAAAGAATTGACTGAAAAAGAATTGACTGAATAGTAAACAGTGCAGACCATGATCAGACAACGCTGAGGTGCGCCCTGATCTTTGTCTGCACTTGTTGCATTTATTGAATATGAATAAATGGAAAAAGTGGAAATTGTAATTGAAGTTAATTCGGACAAAACAAATATTTTGGTCTGTATTTCAGATCCCCCCAAACCTCCAAAAAGTAAAGATAAAGAGAAGAAAGGAAGAATAGCAGATAAAGATAAGCCAGGCTTACTATTGTTACTAGGAATGATTGTAGTGTTTTATGTGTGTGGATCTATAGTGCAGTGGAACTTTATTATTGTGTTCTGTCTATCTATAGTATTTGGAGTGTTTCTATACTGGTTTGGACTTCAACATGAGGCTTTGTGATAAATCTATTTATAGTACCGTTATCTATTTATAGTAACATCTTACGTAAATCCTTTGCTCAAGCATTTATTCTAAATAAGAGCTTGATTAATCTTGAGAATGGTATACATTTTGTGGTGAAAATTATGAAATGATGTAAGAATAAATTCTACAAGCTGGACCAAATAGACATAAGAAACGTTAGACATAAGAAAACCAAAGAACTACATGCAGTGTATTTTTGTGGTAACAATTTGAAACATTGGGAGATTACACAATTTCTATTCATTTTGAGAATAACAATGAAATTTGTGCCTGTCATTACCATATAGAACTGTTGTCAGTCTTCTACAAAAATCTGTTACACAGTCTGGGTTTTTTAGACTATTGAAGAACCAGTCTGTCAGACATGTCTGGAAAAATCAATATACATTTAAACTAAAGTGTGTTCATATAATAATGATCAAAGAATTTTTTTCATAGAAATAACGTGAATAAACAATGTTTTCATGGGAAATTGGTATGTGACATTGACATTATAAAAATGTATATGATTGTTTTTTGGCAAAATTTGGCAAAATAATCCATTCAAATGAAAGGCTTTCAGCTATATAACAACTAAGACAAGTTATGGGAAGTCTAATTATTTAAAATCACTGCAAGATGATATCTGATGGCTGAAGACTAAAGTGGATTTAAATAAATAAAAAAAAACATCAAAATATCTGTTTTTCTCAAATTCTAATATCAATATTAAGAGATGATGTCAAAATTATTTTGTATACCTTTTAAGTTTTATTGTTACTTGTCTGTATTTATATGAAATGGTTGGATATTTATGCATTCCATTGCATGTCGTGGGGCCTCTATGGTCCATTAGTTAAGGTTGTCAACTTCAGTTAACTTGCCAGTCAGTGCTGTGAGTTTGAACCTCTTCTTGGACTTTCATGTGGAAAAGCTGTCCTGCAAGCTTACAGAATGCCAAGGGGCACCTGAGGGGGTCTTCCTGCAGCTTGAAAGTCACAAATTGACCTTAACATTGTCTGTGTGATTTGAAACCAAACAAACTTTGGACATCATGTATGATTAACCTTTACCTTAAGTAAGGTCACCTTGATATACCTTGAGGTCAATATTACTATTATATTAGGATTACTGTATCTTTATGTTGTTAGTTATGTACTACATGTAATAATTAATAGATATGGCATTACATTGTGTTCATGTGGGATCTTGTTTACTTTAATAGTTCATCTATTTAAAGAATACTTGGGCTGTCATACTTTTACTATAGGGTTGTCCTACTTTTCCTAAAGAATACTAGGGATGTCCTTTTTAATTTTCCTAAAGCATATTGGGGCTGTCCTCCTTTTTCTTAAGAATACTGGGGCTGTCCTACTTTTCCAAAAGAATACTGGGACTGTCCAATTTTTCCTAAAAAATACTAGGGCTGTCTTACTTTTCCTTAAGAATACTTGGACTGTCCTACTTTTCCTAAAGAACACTGGGGCTGTCCTGCTTTTCCTAAATAAAAATTTGGTTGCCCTACTTTTCCAAAAGAATTCTTGGACTGTTCTTCTTTTACTAAAGACTACTTTTCCTTAAGATAACTGGGGCTGTCCTACTTTTTCTTAAGAATATTTGGCTGTCCTACTATTCCTTAAGAATACTAGGGCTGTTATACTTTTCTAAAGAATACTAGGGCTTTCCTTTTTTCCAAAAGAATACTAGGGCTGTCATACTTTTCTTCCTAAAGTTTAGAATACTAGGGCTGTCCTACATTTCCTAAAGAATACTAGGGCAGTCCTTCTTTTCCTAAAGAATACTGGGGCTGTCCTACTTTTAAAAAAAGAATACTAGGGGTACTGGGACAGTTCTTCTTTTCCAAAAGAATACTAGGGCTGTCCTAAAAAATACAAGGGCTGTCCTACATTTCCTTAAGAATACTTGGGCAGTCATACTTTTCCTAAAGAATACTGGGCCTGTCTTACTTTTCCTAAAGAATACTGGGGCTGTCCTACCTTTCATAAAGAAAACTAGGGTTTCCCTACTTTCCTAAAATACAAAGGTTGCCCTACTTTTCCTAAAGAATATTAAAGTCGTCCTACTTTTCCTAAAGAACACTTATGTTGTCCTACTTTTTCTTAAAAATACTAGGGTTGCCCTACTTTTCCTGAAGAATACTAGGGTTTCCCTACTTTTCCTAAAGAATACTAAGGTTGACCTACTTTTCCTGAAGAACACTAAGGTTGCCCTACTTTTCCTAAAGAATGCTAAGGTTGCCCTACTTTTCCTAAAGAATACTAGGGTTACCCTACTTTTCCTAAAGAATACTAGGGTTGCCCTACTTTTCCTAAAGAATACTAGGGTTGCCCTACTTTTTCTAAAGAATACTAGGGTTGTCCTACTTTTTCCTAAAGAATACTAGGGTTGTCCTACTTTTCCTAAAGAAAACTAGGGTTGCCCTACTTTTCCTAAAGAATACTAGGGTTGCCCTACTTTTCCTAAAGAATACTAAGGTTGCCCTACTTTTCCAAAGAACACTTAGGTTGCCCTACTTTTCCTAAAGATTACTAGGGTTGCTGTACTTTTCCTAAAGAATACTAGGGTTGCCCTACTTTTCCTAAAGAAAACTAGGGTTGCCCTACTTTTCCTAAAGAATACTAAGGTTGCCCTACTTTTCCTTGCATTTGTATCAATGTTGCATATTGTAAAGGATTGTGTGCAACTTCATTGATGTGAAATAAGTTTAGCTGTAAAAGTAAAACAAGATATGTATACATTGTATATTTTTGTTGGGAATATAAATTAGTGTTGTGCAATATTATATATGTGAGAGGTTGACTAAATATCCATGTTTGCAAGTATAAATTGTGGAACTGGTTATGAATGTGAATGATGGGGGTTACATGTAATATAATGTCATTTCTGTCTTGTTGTGTATAAAATTATGTGCTAACTCAAAATATGTGAAATAAAAAGATCAAATTGCTATATGTAGTTGATACTTGTAACAGTAATGTACATGTTTTATTATTGTTGGAATCAATTTGTACATATTCTACATGTACTGTAGAAGGAGTTTATGAATGTTTACAAAAGCATCATCTCTTCAATTGACAAAATGCTGATAGGGGCATGTTAAAGACATTTTTTTCTTGTATATCAGACTGAATTTTCTAATCTTGAAAATGTTTTCTTTAATAATATTTTATTGCATATTTTGTACATGATTAATTTACACAATCTAACATCAATATCATAAGCATGAATATAATGTACATACAAAAGGGTTGGACCAAAAGTTATACCAACATTATCTAGGGTCCTCCCCTGAAGGTCTATCTTGATGGCTTAATGGTAACATAGTAAGTAAATGTGGTTTTTAGCTCGACTATTCGATAAGAATAAGTAGAGCTATTGCAGTCACCCGAGCGTCGGCGTCGGCGTCGGCGTCGGCGTAACCACTTATGTTAAAGTTTTTGTAATAGTTCAAATATTTTCAAAGTCCATTGACATATGGCTTTGAAACTTTGCACACTTGTTCACCATCATGACCCCAACCTGTAGACAGGAGGAGGTAACTCTATCAAGCATTTTGACAGAATTATGCCCCTTTTTCGACTTAGAATTTACGTTAAAGTTTTTGTAATAGTTCAAATATTTTCAAAGTCCATTGACATATGGCTTTGAAACTTTGCACACTTGTTCACCATCATGACCCCAACCTGTAGACAGGAGGAGGTAACTCTATCAAGTATTTTGACAGAATTATGCCCCTTTTTCGACTTAGAATTTACGTTAAAGTTTTTGTAATAGTTCAAATATTTTCAAAGTCCATTGACATATGGCTTTAAAACTTTGCACACTTGTTCACCATCATGACCCCAACCTGTAGACAGGAGGAGGTAACTCTATCAAGCATTTTGACAGAATAATGCCCCTTTTTCGACTTAGAATTTCCGTTAAAGTTTTTGTAATAGTTCAAATATTTTCAAAGTCCATAGACATATGGCTTCGAAACTTTGCACACTTGTTCAACATCATGACCCCAACCTGTAGACAGCAGGAGGTAACTCTATTAAGCATTTTGACAGAATTATGCCCCTTTTTCGACTTAGAATTTACGTTTAAGTTTTTGTAATAGTTCAAATATTTTCAAAGTCCATTGACATATGGCTTTGAAACTTTGCACACTTGTTCAACATCATGACCCCAACCTGTAAACAGGAGGAGGTAACTCTATCAAGCATTTTGACAGAATTATGCCCCTTTTTCGACTTAGAATTTACGTTAAAGTTTTTGTAATAGTTCAAATATTTTCAAAGTCCATTGACATATGGCTTTGAAACTTTGCACACTTGTTCACCATCATGACCCCAACCTGTAAACAGGAGGAGGTAACTGTATCAGGCATTTTTTTTACTATCAAGCACTAAGAATAGTCGAGCATGCTGTCCTACCGACAGCTCTTGTTAGAAATTCTGAGATATTTATTTATAAGATAAGCGATATTAATTTCATGTATTTTAACTGGTAAAAAAGAATGAAAATGTTAAATGATATACCTTGTGTAGTGTTTATATAATTTCATTCCACCACCATCTTTATAAGCTGTTTAGTAGGATGATGTCATTCAGCCGTTCTGAGTAAAGTTGTTCATTAGTACCCTAAATAAAAATATTAGTATATTATTTTAAACTATAAATAAATTGTTATATAAGGCATGGTTTTCACAGATGGGATTTTATGGCAATCTTGTGACTATTTATTTGAAGCCCGGCAGAGCTTTAATACCCTTGAGCCAAATATTTCTGTCTAAATGGGCTCTGTTAAAAACTTTTTATTATATAATTAAACATGATATAATGCTACAATAATGCATTTTCAGTTTTTATTCATTTAAAGATTCATGCACAAATGTGTTAGCTGTTTCATCTCTTCCTATACGTATTAGGAAATAAAACTTATTACATCCTTGCACATAAGTATGAGGCCTCCTTGGCTGAGTGGTTAAGGTTGTTGATTTTGCACCCATTTGCCCCTAATAGCTGTTATTAAATTTGAATCCTACTAAAGACTGTATACTAGTATACTTCATGTGAGGAAGCTATAAAGCTACATCAGTGATGGTCAGTGGTTCTATTGTGCCTACTTATGCCTTAAGTCATAAGGCTTTATAGTGTTTTTTTCTTACATCCGACCAAAACATCTCTGTGGTTGACTATTTTGATGAGTATTCAGTAAGTCGAAGTTCAAAGTTATTTTAAGACTGAAAAAAGACCTTGGCTCATCAACAAGCCCGTGATATTCTCAGGTTTATAAAACAATGCACACAAATACAATCATGTGTTTGAAATAGCAATTATATTGATTATTTATAATTTTATTTTTCATATTATGTCATTTTAGAAGGTGAAGAAGAAAAGGAAGAAGAAGAAGATTCAGGAAAGAAAGAAGAATTATGACAGAAGAGAACATATAGACCACAGTTTATGATTAATTTGATATTTTTATGTAAAATTATTTTGT